TGGTCTGTGGTGAAATGTACATATAAGTTTAGATAGTATGAAACTTTTTAGCTCTGAAACACTTTTCTTTTAATACTATTATATGGTCATTAACATTCATGTTTAACACATTGATTTTTGTAGTAGTTATTGATTTACTCTTATTGTCCACATATCCTTTATTAATTGAATTTTTAGACAATGGCAGAAATTGTTTGTGGCATTCTTTATGGTAGACTAAGGGAAACTTTTTATAAAATTAACATTCATTCAGGTAGCTACATTAATTGCAATCACAAATAATTATTTTGTATTTATTTGCTTTAGCTATGACTGCAAAAGAAGTTGAGAATTTCTTCCGTGATGTTCAAAAGCATGCTGAGTCATTGAACTCTTACTATGAAAATTTTATTCAGCATTCTCCTGAATTAAAGACACTTTATCAGAAGCCAATCTTAACAGTATGTTGGTTACAGAAATAAAATACATTTTATTTGTACAAGTATGCTAGTTAAGCAAATTATATATATATATATTGTTTATTTCATTGATTTAGGTATTTTTAGATGAAATTAACACTTCATGTTGCCCTGGTTTTATGAAAGAGATTATCATTGATGGCACAATTGATGGAAGAGTGAGTTGTCTTTAAGTGTAAAGTCTGCATGTGTCTGTGTTAGTTGTAGAATATGTAGGAAAATTGTATTAGTTTTTGTAAAAAGACATTAACCTCATTGTAATTTTAAATCAAAGCCACAATAAAACTTTCCTTGGCAATATCAGTGCTTATCCCTGATCTAATTTGTCTATTAATATGTAATTTATTTATGCAGTTAGTAGGTACAGAGCATGATTCCCAATTTGCAATTTCTGTCTTTGTTGTGCACATACTAGGGTTTCTCACCAAGCATGCTAATTGAGCTAAACAGCAAGCTTTATGAGTTGACAGCACAACAATACTGTACATGGCATTTGAAGCAACTTCAAAAATTCATAAAAATCCAAATTTGATCAAAATCAGCTCAATTTTTTTACAACACACAATAAAACATGTATATGTATTGAAAAAAATTATAAAAGTGGAGAATTCTCTCCCAGCCATTTTTGGCAAAATTGAGCAACTTGGCAATCTACTGACAAGAAGCCAATAAGGACTATGCCAAAATACTGTGGGAAACCCTGACACAAACAATATGTGCTGAGTGAATTGAATTTATTATAAATGACCTTTTATTACTTTACAGTCTATTTCTACTTCTGGAAATATCTTCATAGTTGCTGCCTGTAATCCTCATCGGGCCAATAGTTTAGCAGTAGTAACCAAATCAGCTCAAAAAGAAAAGAAGGGCTGGTTTAATCCTACGTATTACGTTCAGAACCTTCCACCAACACTCAAGCTTATAATGTGGGATTACGGCCAATTGCAAAAGGGAGATGAAAAGGAATACATTAAGCAAAAGTTTCGTCTTGAATACGAAGACATGCCTCAGCTTGAATACTCCTTCCTTGCTGAGCAAATAGCTAAAGCACAGGACCTTATCCGAGCTTTTGCCTGTGAAAACCTTATCCTAGAGGGTGTAAATGAAGAAGATGCTAAACTTTTTGCTCAGAGCACAGTCAGTCAAAGAGACATTAAAAGAGTTTTTCAGTTGTACTCTTATCTCAAGAAATGGTTCACATGTGACACAAAATATGGACATGAGTCTGAATTTAGGATTTCTGTTCGTGCAGTTTTTATATCATTGGCACTAGTGTATTATTTTCGTTTGAGTGACGAAATTATAAAGTCTCAAAAAGCAGTCCAACCTGGAGGAGAAGAAAAGAAAAGTTTTCGGAAGCGTTTTAAACAGATCATGCATGAAAAACGTACCATTGGAGAGTGTGGCATTCCTGTAACTTTTAATGAAGCATTGTCTAATGAGCTGACTTGGGTGTCTAAAAAA